CCGGCCCGGCGCGGACCACCCCTCCCCGAGCACAGGCCTCTGATGTCATTTCCTGACTTGCCCCTCTCCACGCCCGACCCGGGGTGCCCGAGATCTGACTCACGGTCCCCACTCCGGGCTAAGCCGGAGGAGGTCGGGCGGGTGCCCCTGAGGTGCTGAAGCGTCTCCTCTGAGCCTCCGCCCCGGCCCAGCCCCCTCCTCTCCGGGCCTGCCGTTACCTGCCCCCGCCTCCTCCAGCTGCTGCTCCACCTCCCCACCCAGCCGCCAGCCCCACGCCCCCAAATCCCCTCCGGGTCGCCCCGGACTGGCAGGGCTGGGATGGAACTGAGCTCCAGCGGGGACCGGGATGGTGAGCGGGCGTTCTCCCTGCCCAAGCCCCCCTAGGCCCTTCCGTGACCTGGATGGGGTGTGTGAGCTCAAATCTCAAGGGTTCGTGGGGGATCCTAACCTCAAATTCTGGGCAACCTCTTTGGGCTTCTAGGAATTCGTATCACCCGCTCCGCCGCCTGCGGATAAGTTAAGAATAGGGGTAGCGGGAAGGGCGGAGGCGAGAGCGGCCGGCTGACTTGGGGGCCAGGGAGGACGAGCGTGGACGCGGGCGACACGTCTTCGACAGTTCTTCAGTGCCTCTGGTGAGCCCATACCTCAAGGAGCCTTTGAACAGCGGGGCGGCCCTCGGGGGATTCGGAGACTGCACTCAGTGGAGCCCCCCACTGGTCGGCCTGGATTCCTCAGCCTTGGACCAGGCCCCAGGCTATGCGAAAGGGACAGACCTCATTCTTTTTTATTTTCTTAATTGAACATGGGAACTTACCAAATTGCATCCTGAATTCTTCCACACTCACTACGTACAGACTGTGGAGTCATATGACCTTTCGGTCTGTAAGTCTAATATGTCACCCTCAGGCGCTGCCCTACTATTTCCAGTCCCTGACCCTCCAAGCCAGGAGCATCTGTCCTACGTTTTTGAGATAAGCAGACTCACCATGAGTAAACAGGCTGGGAGCTTAAGAGAGGAGCCCAGGGTCATACCGGGTTAGCCACAAGGTCAAAGCTAGAACTGGGTGTCTTGAGGGCTCCAATGTCAGAGCTCATTCCCCTACATCCTGGTGTCAGGTGAAGCTACCCTGGAGACGAGAGAGCAAGGTGAAGTTACGGTACAGAGGCTAACTTGAGTGACCAAACTAAGTGACAAGTTTCTTCATTCTCTCTACTTTCTCTGTGCATAAAAGAGTGAGGATATTTAATCCACCTACCTTATTTAATTACATGGAGAAATAAATGAAATTCCATATCTAAAAGTGCTATATAATACTTGGTATTATTATTCAAGTCCAAGTTCTGCCCAGAATGGAAATTCTGACAGGTTAACCTAAGGCCTATTTCCCCATAAGTCCCCTTCAAGATTGTCAAGCAGATCTCTCATGGGCCTGGGGTATGCAAAGCCTGCTGTTTCCTTCAACCTCAGCAAATACTTAATTATGCCTAATACTACATGTTCATCTCAGACCCCACCGATCTTTCTTTCCTCTGGTGTCTGGTTGTCTTTGTCACGGGTGTTTCTCACAGTCACAAGCGGGTGTGGCCATGCATGATATAAAGCATGTCGTGCAGACATTCTCTGACAGGTAGAAGCGGGTCCTGGGCCTGTCTGCATGAAGATCTACTAGAAATTTGATACTGGATTTCCTGTGCATATTGGAAATTGTGTCTTGGGCTTTACAGACCCTCCTCCCGCAAAAAAGTCTCATTGCCAGTCCTTCAAAATATACCCACTTGGGGGAAAAAGTCAGGAAGACAATTTCCAGATAGTGTCACAGGAGGAAAAGCCATCTACAATCTAAATGTCTCATTAAGGAGCGTGCATGTGCAAAATATAGTATGTTTAATTGTTAAGTGGCTGAACCTATTTATAAATCAAGAATAGAAGAGTGTGTAGGCAGGCTTAGTTTCACTGACAACTAAGACCCTTCGGGATGCAGAATATTAAAACTAAGAGTTTTCAGCCAGGCATTCTGAAAAACACACCGGGGACCCCAGAAGGACAGGTTCATTAGGCCAGGCTGTCTCGAGTGGCGCTGCGGCTCCATCCTCCACTTTAAGTCCGGCCACCATTTTTCTTCTACCATCACATGGCACCATCATTTGGTAAGTTCCCATGTTCAATTAAAATGCACACGATGAACAGGAGCGGCCGTAATAATTCTTAGGTATTTTTCCTAAGTAATTCTAATTGATCTCCTCTGGTAGTATGTGTAAAAGATAGCCAAGTACGGAAATGTTCCCACTTAATTGTTTCCAACAGCTCGGGGCCAGCAAGGGAGAGGAAGTAAAAAAATGGGCAGGGACCTTTGCTATCTAAAACATCTCTACACACCTCCAAGGATTTATGTCCACCAGGTACCGGAAAGTTTTCAAGGGCACATAACCTGAAGTAAGAAGTTAGAAGCAGTCAAGGGAAAAATAAAAAGAAAGAAATGAACAAGGACAGTATCAAAAAATGAATTCTGAAATGAAAAAGGGAGATACTATTACGAGATTCTTTCTGTATGTTGGCTGCCAGGCCAAGGACAACCACCATAGCAACACCAGCATCACAGTAATAATAGCACACACTTAGATAAAGCTTAGGACATGAGGCTAGGCACAATACTACACACTTTAAATGTAAAACTCCCATTTAATCCTCACAATAAACCTGTGAAGGATGTACGTTATCATCCCATTTTTCGGTGAAGGAAAATAAGGCTAGATGTTGCATTTTTCACCTCCAAAACTGCAAAATATTTTGCAACATAAATATTGTATTTGAAGACGCCTCTGCTCCTTGCATTCATCCTTACGGTCCATCACATCTTCCGTTCAGGCGGCCCAGCCCGGTACATCAACAGCCTCTTCAGGTCAGCCTCCAGCTCCATCCTCCACTTTAAGTCCGGCCACCATTTTTCTTCTACCATCACATGGCACCATCAAATTTTGTCTGTCTCTATCCGTAGTTACATTGGCATGTGACTGGCGAAAGAGATGGAGAAGATGGAGGGAGAGGTCGAGGGTCAAGGGTCGAGGGTCAAGGATAGAGATGTTTTGTATAATAAAACTTTTCCAGAAGGTTTCTTCAGGAATGGTGAGCCGTGGTTGGTGTGAGGGTGTAGAATTTAGGGAAGGCAGAAAGCTTTTATAACAGTTGTTTTTTTAATCCGTGAACCTGTATTACTTTTATAATTTTAAAAGATGAAAAGAAAGAAAAATGAGAGCCATTACCTCTTTTTCCTTTTATCAGAGTGTTTTATTGCACTGAGTACGGGGTGCACATGCTCTGCGGCTTTTCCACTTTCTCCCACATTTACTCCCCTCTGGCATTTGCTTGTCAGGACCAAAGACTATGTCACTTGTGGGACTGCAGACACAAAGGACAAGTTGGATGGGAATGGGGCTAGGGGAAGGCGAAGCGTCCAGCAAGGCCCAGGGATCTTTGTCGCAGAGCGAGGAACAGCTTCCTGCTCTGCTCCAGAGGCCCGCCCTCCTACCAAGAGAGGGATCCACGACCCCACATGCCCCCTTTTCCTCCTTTCTTGCTGGGCCAGCCCAGTGGGCTGACACCAGAATATCATCCTCTGTGCACTTTTCTCATCCCAACCTCAATTCAACCAATATTTACCAGTAATTTTTATATTCTAGGCATTCTGGATATGAAGATAAGTGAACCCAGCTCTTGCCTTTAAGAAACTCCTCCCAACTGCAAATTGGTGCAGCCATTATGGAAAACAGTATGGCGGTTCCTCAAAAAACTAATTGATCTACCATACGATCCAGCAATCCCTCTACTGGGTATTTACCTCCAAAACTTGAAAACTCATATCCAAAAAGATATTTGCACACCGATGTTCATAGCAGCATTATTCACGGTGGCCAGGACATGGAAGCAACCGAAGTGTCCTACGATAGATGATTGGCTAAAGAAGCTGTGGTACATACATACAATGGAATATTACTCAGCCTTAAGAAGAGATGAAATACTGCCATTTGTGACAACACGGATGGACCTCGAGATAATCATGCTAAGCGAAAGAAGCCAGACAGGAAAAGTTGAAAATCACATGATATCACTTATGTGTGGGATATAAACCTAAAAGCAACAAACAAACAGAGACTCATGGACATGGACTATAGACTAGTGGTTACTAGAGGGTAGGCGGTGGAGGGACGGGGGAGGTAGATGCGGTAAAGGGGGTCAGATATGTGGTGACAGAAAGAAATCTAACTATGGGAGGTGAACACACAGTGTAAATATATATATGCCTTACTGTTAAAGTGTACAGATGAAACTTACTGAATTTCGTTAACCAATGTCACCATAAAAAATAAAAAAAACAACTCCCCCCACACAGAGGAAAAAACACTTGAGGAAGTATTTTAGAGTCTTTTAGTATAATAAAGTAAGTGTAACAATTAGAACAAACAAGTTTCACTCGCATAATAGTTCTTGCTTGGTGTGGCTACATGGATTACAATAGCTGGGCGGCCTTCTCTTCATTTAGACCTCGTATTATTGTCCTACCTGGTCCAGGCAGCAGTGAG